ACATGTTTATCATTTTCCTGAATTTACTGTTAAGTCAGGATATTCGATGAAAACTGCCTGTTTTGAAACAGTGTCAGTCTTTCTTCGCTGTTTACGTGAAGTGTAAATGATATGAAAGTTCAGTAGCCAGCTGCAAGATCAGATTTTCGACACATTAATATGCATCAATTACAATTTCATCTGGCCAATCAAAGTGCAGTTCTTGAGTTCGAAAAGTTGTCGCGCGCAAATGTATAGGGAAAACTGCAACCTTTTCAATGTTACTTTCACAAATAAAAATTTAAAAGTTCAATTTTCGGTGCTGTTGAAACTGGTATGTAGTCCAATCGAGCATCCCAGAAAATCACGATTGCACCTGAGTTGTAAAAACCAAACCCCTCCAGGATGGACCTTTCAGATTTTAGTGAGAAATTGCTAAGCGTAGCACCCAAATAATGCTTTTTTTCCAGAGAAAACACAGAGGGCAATAAGTGAATCCCTATTTGAGGACAGCCAATCTTGGGTCCTATCTCGAAAATGCTTTTCTAGGCTAAAGTAATTGGCCTTGTTACAAAAATACACGACGCGATTTACTTCAGACTTAAATGAAGGCTGATTATTTTTCTAACTATTTATAACTTCCTCGTGAATCATCTCCGCTCGTGCACAAGTTGACACTTAAGTTTAAATGTTTATTTACTTTTACAAATCTGTTAAAATAAATGCAAGTAAAATTTGTAAACAAGAACTCAAATGTTAGTATGTGATTTAAATGTTGAGAATAAACTTGAGATACTGTTAATAAAGAACATGTCCCCTGTGTCAGTGAATTCGTATTCTGGTGTGGTTTGCGTGGCAAGGAATGTGGATCGACAAGCACTGTGCTAAAGGATTGTATATTTATAATCAGAGATAAATAACAATATCAGTGTGTCAAACTACATGGTCATTTTCTGCTTCATTGAGTTGTAAAGATACAAAGCAACTTCTATTTTCAACCAAACATTTACTGTTGCCCTTACAGGTCAATAGAAATTAGGCAACTGTTTGGGGACGGTACAGTCTCCTGGACGAACACATTTTAGTAATTACAGATCGTACACAAAAACGAAGTAGAATCAAATGAGTGAAAACAAAAAGTATTAAATGCCATTTGGCAGCAAGGATTTTTGAAGTTTTTCCTCTATTTTTTGATTTCATTTTTGTAAAGTAATGTATTCAACAAAAGTAAAAAGACGCAATGCTTACAAGATTTTAAAAACTGCTTCTAGGGGTTGTAAACAGAAGACAATGGCTCAAAATTATTGACTTACTCGCATGGATTGCCAAAAGCCAAGAAAGCGGGACAAGGAAATCCATTATTAAATTACTAAATTCAGAAAAAAAGTCAAAATGAAGTTATATTACTTAAAAAAACCTCTCAGCAATCACTTTAAGCGCAACGCAGCCAATCGAGAAAATAAAAACTGATTTCATCGAAGCTGAAAATTCATAAACATCAAAAAGGTCAAAACTACGCCCAAGTGCATCACTTCCGAACATCCAAACCATGGGCTTTAATCAAGACTACTTGTAAATGTTATCAACGACTTGGACGCGTGTGGAACATTAATCAAAAATCTTAAAGACCGGGAGACCGATTGGAGTATCGGGCAGGAAGAGAAGGTGGCGTCTTGAGATTACTGTGCACGTGCCGGGGGTGAAATGCTCCCAGCAAAGCAATCACACCCCAGTGTGTGTAGACACCCACAGAATTCACAATATTTAATTGGGGGGATTCCTACCCGCACGGTTTGCAATGAGAGTGAGAGTGGATCCCCTCTCTGATGATAAATTCTCAAACCATGCTTTGGAATTCACGCGAAACTGTAGCCGCGTAGTTATCGAGCGGCACGCTTCCGTTGCCGTGCGGAAGGATAAGGCGGACTTTGTCATATCGCGTCTGACGGAAAATATTTCACTCTCCATAAGGCCAGCACATTAATGTGGGACAGAAAATGGAAGTAGTGAAGAAGGGAAAGTGGAGTCAGGCTTAGTTGTCGGCCATTGCTGTAGTAACGGTTCGGTTTGGTGGAACATCTCTACAGCAACCAATGTATTTAGTACGCAAAGGACGCACCCTCTAATCTGGACATACTGATAAAGCCGTGCTGGCAGGACAGGCTAAGCCGATAAGGTAAATAACTAAAAATACAGATAAGTTGGCAATATTATGACTCTTCAGACGAATCTGGACATTTTGTACGGTTTAAAGTTCGGAATAACTGGTCCTCTACAATTTTTAAAACAAAAGCTGATACATATTATGCTTCTATCTCTGCTAAGGAGTTACTGATCAAAGAAATTATTGTTGCTGGTTAGACTGGGTTCGTTGGCTGTGAGCGATTATGCGCAGTACAGTACTAGACCGAATAGCAGGCACTCACGTTGTGGCGTGGCTGGATGGTCTCCACAAAACCCGGGCCACTGCGTGGTAAAATAAACGTACACCCGTGGCAAGAAACCTTTCCTTGCAGTTGATGCAACATCGTTTAAGAAAAAGGTCGCAGGATCTAAGTACTGTTACTACAGAAGAAGGAACTGCCACAGCAAGTGGGATTACATTGCCCCAACTTCCCTTCAGTTTGGAGAGAGTAAGAGAAAAATCTTTTTCAATAGGAAGACAGCGGGAAATGTCCTCGCTCGGAGAATGTTCCCTACCTCCTAAACTCACTTCAGAATTTTTAGGAGACAAAGCAAAACCTTCATTCGAAAGAATTTAGTGTTTGTCTCAAGAATAACAGGTCCTTATACCCACTGAAAATTGAGATCAACTTCTGCTCCGTCAAAAAGAACCACGGAATCGCTTTCGTAAAAAGTCTGAAACATACAATCGACACACCCCTCCCCCCAAAAAAGACCAAATGCTTTTGTCATCACGACTTGCCTGAAATTCGATTTATGGGTTGCCATTTTAGAACAGGAAAATTGCAGTGATGTTTTGTATCACACGAGGGCGCTACGTAACATCAAATCTGTGCCTGACTTCAGGAAATTACCTCAACAACGCTTTTTTATCAAATCACGTTTCGCAAAATAGATATCCAAATGGACGAGTATCATGAATGTTAACGTTACTGAATCAGTTCTTTGTTGGTAAAATGCGAAACTCTGTGACACACGTCTAGATAAATTATTTTCCTTAGCCTATAACTTAACGTCCGTATACATAGCGGTGGGCGCCCTTATAAGAAAACGGAAATGATCATAAACATATGGCACTGAAATAAAATACCGCAGCTGTTTACATGGGTGCAGTGGGGTCCATGATTTAAAGACTTTCATCAGACAGAACACAGTCCCGATGGATTGGAAAAATGATCTGAATCCTGGCCGTATTCTTTGGCTTAATCACCGGTAAGTATCCCAGACAGGATGTCTTGATTGATAGGGGACGGCCAAGAGATTACTTCGTACTTGGCGTTGCTCTGATGACGACACAGATGCCAAGAAGAAAATAATCAAACCTTGCACTTTGGTCAGGTATGCGTACGGGCACGAACATTTCCAAATCTTCCAACATGTTTCAGATATAAATGTGTCCGTATTAGAATGTCAGAAGTCCTGGTGTCTTTCGGGGGCAATTTTGTGCTCCATGCCCATGTAAATACCATTTTCTGCGGGGTGCTCACATGGGAGTGGAACTCAAATTGGCACAAATACAAAGTTCGTTGGAAAAAGGGGCCAAAGGGCGCTCCATAACCAGGATGGAATAGCCTGCTCACAAGGAAAAGAGAAGCGTTCTTTCCTTGTACACTTCCCAGACAATCAGATAAATTTCGAGAATTCTAAAAGCAACACTGTCTGGTTCACCAGAACTATCGAAGTCTGAATACGCCTCTTCCCGAGCAGCCAATTTACTATTTAGTTTATACTACTTAATGGCGATTTTCCACCACACATGCTCCGGTCATACTAGTAAGATCGGTTTTCCGTTGCAATATTGAAGGAAAAAATTCACTGAAACCTTAAAAAGGACAAAGGGTTATGACTAACGTATCAAGCCAGTTAACATATGCAAAAATCAGAAAAAAGTCTTCTGTTGTGTAACTACTTTAATTACCGTTTCACCCTTTTAGGGCTTTATGGATGTCCGTAAAAATATATTCTAAAATAATCAATCGAGAAGATTGTTTTCTTTTGCTCAAAGCTTCTTCGTAACCCCAGTACGAACGCACACTAGTCCCTCAATATGTGAACTAAAAAGCAGATCTGACAATTGTTTTGGCAATTCTTGTGGATGACTGTCCAGCTCCATTCACTCGATCAATTTATTCCATACTCATCCAATACATCAAAGTCGCAATGGTGTTTGCTATCAGGTCTCAACTGACGGGGCGAGGGCACACCATGAAGGCCGTGCAAAAGGTTGCAATGATGCGTCAGGAGGGGTTACTGTACTCTATGTCTTTGTGAGCTGATAATGCGATTCCGTTTTCAATATTACTGAAGATATAACGATCGTTTTACCGCAGAGGCTGCAAAATTCAGAAGGCATATTCAAAAAGGGGCTGAGGGTGGTAGTAATAGGGAGATGCCTGAGCGCAGGATAAATGCAACAAACTGTACACGCATTTCAAAACCAGGGAGCTTGCTACACTGCAAAAACTGGGGTGTTAAATTTACATCTCCGGTGTTATCAGAGGATTACACAAACACTTTTCACTGGTGTTAAAAATTTTGGTGTTACTTTTAACACCGTCCAGTGCATTGTAATACTAATACGTGTAGGTGTGCAAAGTAATACCCTCTGGTGAGGTCATCTGCTAACACCAGTGTTTTTACAGTGTAAATTTAAATTAAGTAGAGTCCGCATATCAACACTACAGTTCCAAATGCGGTGATTTAAGAAGATTTGCACCTATATCACTCGAGGTATTGCATTTTCCCTTCATAAAAATCAACATGTGAACAAAAGCAAGTTTAAAATGAAACACAAAAGGGAATGGTCACAAATGAAAGAAACAGAGAAACTAACAAAATTTGATATCTTTCAGTACATTTTGCGAACTGCTTTATTCTGTGCAGAATAAAAATAACGAGTTCAACACACTATAATATTATCCAAACAGTTGAATTTGATATCACGGACGGTTCATATTACTTACACCAAATGTGTTTTTCACAACTTAAGGAGCAGAAGGCAAGCCCAGTAACAATACAGATCACAACCTCCCAATGCATTAAAGGAGTGAAGACACAGCTTGCAGGCACTAACAGGTGATTGTTCAAGACAAGGGCCTTTTGTTGATTACCTCACAACCCTTTTATGACACTCTGACAGTGTCCACCAGTAGTAGTTGTAAGTCTGATGTTGCTGACGGGTGCATGTACACACCTGCAGTCGTGACTACTACACGGATATTAAAGGGAGTAGGCCCAATTGCTCTAAATGCTGAAAAAATATGTCACTACTACATGTACATTTCAAGATATCAAATTTCCAAATGCCAACTTTCAACAACATTTCTGCTCACGTCTTTCTAATGAATACATAGTGATTCTGAGAATGTGTGAAGCAAAATGTTATTTCCAAAACAGGCTGAATGCAAATCCATCTACACAAAGAACAGCACTTGCATGCGAGAAACCAATCGTAATCAACACATTTTGCTGTGATACATTTATTTGCATTGGTTATCAGATCAACTGAGAATAAGGACTAAATAACTAATAAGTCAAGGTTTAACAATATTTATGATCATGAGCAAGGATGAGTAAGCATGGCAGAAATGACTTAGAGTCAGTCTTGTTCCCTGACTCCTGATCACTCAACATAAAGTGTGTCTGACCAAGGTATTATACCCTAACTCCTGGCTGATGAAAGTACACAACTGCAAGTGAGCTGTAATCATTGCTGTGATCTGACATTCTGTTCAGAATTTGCAGAGTGCAAACTAATTGGTCCTCATATTTATTCCAAGATGGGCTCCATCACACAAAGACTGCAATCATTGGAGGTATCGTAACTTGAGAAACTAACACACTGCAGAACCACTGACGTTAGAAGCTCCTTCAATCTTGATGATTGCTAGTCAGGCCAAGGATCAATAAAGGACAGCCAGATCTGATTGTTCACTATCAGACTCCATCTCGCAGGTTTCTTGTTCCACGTCCGAATCAACCTCGCTTTCAGTCTTCCTCTCACTTGCTGAACGTTTAGCAGATCTTTGCGTAGCAAGAGTCATGATATACTGTAAGCTGAAACGATTGCTGTCACACCTAGTAGGAAATCAAAGAATCAGACTGATAATGATTAATTGGCTCTCTCATTGGCTGATAGTGTCCTTGCTTGCTTGATATGTGACCAAAGAATTGTTTCGAAAAGGGAATTTTTGAAATTGAAATGAAATGGCGTAATGACACTGGAAATGAGAAAACTGGGTAACAGGGAAACAGATTAAGGGACAAACCTACTGAAGCTTGAAAGGACGAGGAAGGATGAAGGTGAAGTACGTGTAGATGATTTCTGGCAGCAAGTTTAAACAAGGTGTGGTGTGTCAAGAAAAGTTGGAATTACAGAGGAAATGTTAATCAGAAATTCAATCTCATCTCAAAAGCTGAGCACAAGAAAGCCAATGAATAAACTTAGCAACAAACACATTAGATAGCCATGAGATGTAATCTGTAAGAACTGGCATTATAAAAACTGACTAAGCGGTGAAAAATTCTAAAAGCCATGCTAACAAGAATTTTAAAGTCACACTTAGTATATAAGTACCACAAAGACTCATCCAAGCTTAAAGTTCCCCACACCATTACAGAAATGTCACTGTATGAATATATACAGTAGATCACAGGATTAGTACAAGCACATGTCTCAGGTCTAAGAAAGATTGTAATGCTTTGGACGGATCACGCACAAACTTTCTTCATGACGTTTGAAGAAGTAATGACAGACACTTCAGATAAGTGAATCTCCTTGCAAGTAATGATTTTTATCACTACACATAGTACATACTAGATTATCTGAGCATTAGTGATTTGTACACCTGTAAATTTGACTATTCATTTTTTGATTTTATCTTCGCAGTTCTCACTCTTTGGCAAATGTAAGAGCAAAACACATTTTACGACGTCAGTAAATTTTGAAATTCACCCTAACCCTCACATATTCCCTGCCCAAGTGAAATACGCATCAGCGTTGCATAGACTGGGAAGTACATGAACAGAGCAAGTGCTGAGGGACAACGGATTAAAAAAAAAAGAAAAAATGGATTTTTTTTTAAATGAGAGGATTACAAAACAACCTAGGAAAACACTGGAAGTTGGCACGTATTCAAGACAAAACATTCCAGGTGCATGTGCGAGTGCAGGTACACTGTACATGTATGTGTACAAGCAATAAATTGTGAATGTGACAGGAGGGAAAACAAAGTCATTAATGAAGAAGTATATGACACCGTGTCTTCAAAGTAAGTTTATGTAGACATTGAAATAATGAGTTGGTATGGCGCTGGGAGGACACTAAAGACACAAATTCCAGTAGAGATTAGACTAGAAACAGCATGAAATTGGAAAATGTACTACTTTGAACACAGAGATCAAAGCTCGTTCAAGGCAACATTACAAAAAATGAAAAAAAAAATCCGGATTTAAAGGAAGAAAATAGCCAAAATATAAGAAAATTATGTATAAAAAGGGAAACGGAAAGGGTGGAAAAATCAACAAAAGGCGTAAATATGTGATAACCAATTAACCAACAAAATATAAATTAAAAAGTCACAAATAAAAAAAAAATCAGACACAAAATACATATCCAAAATAACAAAACTTACTTTATGTACAAATGTACAAAAAAACTATGTATGTGACATCCCATCAATAAATATCAGATAAAAAAAACATATATCAGTATAATCCAAACAACTTCTTTGAAAAATAACAGCACATAACAAACAAATGAGGGAGTGAATAGTCAAAGGGGCAGTTAAAGGGACCACAAGAGATGAGTATGTCCAACTCCTGACAAGAAAAATTAAAGTAAATGAAACTTGAATGTGTCATTTTTAAACAGTTGAGACATTACCAGTAAATAAGGTTGTCTGCCGGCGTGTCTCAATCCTTTGCCTAAAAAATTTGTCCTTCTTCTAAAGTCAATTCAAGTAGTATTTTGTGACAACTCACAAAACAAAACTTCTCTTAGTCTGTGAAAACTGCATCAGTGGAAGTCACAAATATTTCTTAAAATTAATGATCAAGCACTACTCTTGTAATAATTATCCAAGAGTCTGTTGGAAGTTTGCACCAAATCCTGCACAGATAAATTCCAATCTCTGAAAGCAACTCCATCACTTTTCAAATTTTATGGAAAAATAATTGGTGTAGGCATGTACAGACCACTTGGCTAATTAACGGCACGTCTGGTATGTGGATCAACACTCCATTAAAGCCTCTTTCCCAGACTCTAGGCACTAACGAAATCACACAGAAATCAAGCAGATTCCAGCGTTACGTGCATGTATGACTGACTTCATATCAGTGGCACGCACCCAATGGTGTTTTACTAATGAACAAAGGCACTCCACAATGCCAGAGAAAGGCGGTGATTGCGAGCAAAGGGCTAGCACAGTAATTGGAAGTAATCAACGTAGAGAAATTGACTGAGATAATTGCGTTAGTCAGACAGACAGGCCGGCCATAAAAAGTGTAAGTGTAGGTGACAGGACTCGGATGAGTGGGGTCACTTTGACTTTTGTTCATGAATGCCGTGAAGAACATAATTCTTGCATGCAGCTTGGGTCTTCAGTTTGATGCTATTACAGGTAAAATAAAATTCTACAGATGATGCCCTACAACGACCTTCTCCCCTCTTCACAACCCAAACACTTAACAACCATCAACAAAATGACTTTGTTTGGGGAAAAAGCATACAGAAAATGTCTTCCTACCAACCCTAACCATTCTATCCCCAACAATGTCCACGAGTGGTCACTTGCTGTGGGATTTTGTGATGTAAGCGGTGAACCAAAGGCCTCTTGTTCTAGCTGTTGGATTCTGTGGGCTTCATACTTTATCTGTGTTTGGAATCTTTCCAGGTCAGAGGGGTGCTTAGAGAAAACCTGTAGCAGGCTCCTAACCACTGGGGGTGCAGGGTGTGTCCACACCCCCCTCAATGCATCTTAAAGGTCCGCTTTGGAGGCAAGAAAAGATTTTGAGCTACAGTAGAACATTTTGCATTTTAAAAATGCCGCGATCAATCCCCTCTTTGGGAACTTACTTGTAACCCCCCCCAAAAAAAACAATTGGTACAACCTCATGAATCCTGCTGTTTTTTTCAAAATAAATAAAGCAAAAGATGTATGCTTGGTCTGCTTTGTTGAGGATTCGCACCCCCCCCCGAATAGTCCTAGTTACGGGCCTGTATAGGGGGTTGAAGTTCTTGATAACACATGGATGTTACAACGGCTTTCACAAGTTATCAAACAAACCTTTACAAGCACTTTCCAAACACAGTACAAGAGCATAAAAGAGAGCAATGTTCTACAGTTTGTAAAAGCTGGAATCTTGAAACAGACTTTTTTATGACTTAAGAAGGTCACACATGCACACTAATGAGCACTTGATCACTGATGACAAAATTCATTGCTATCTTAAATTATACGTGCAAACTGTGCCAATCACATGTAGGCTAAATCTACAAAAGTTGAGGTCAAAATAAACAAGAATGCACGTGTAATCAAAGCACGACCTCAAATTCCTGGAATAGGCACGTGCAGATCACTCCATATTTTTATGGTGAGACAATCAGGATGTTTAACTAGAGTACTCACAATTGCTTAAGCTGTCATCTCTAAGTAGAACAAGTCAACCCAAAGTGTAATCAAGCCAAGCAGAGAGACGTGATCCTTCTTACGACCTTAAATTCCTAGAATATTAAACTTTTCTATTTTGGGAAGCATTTTTAATTTGGACTGTGAGGGACATGGTGGAGGTTGGAATGGCTACAATTAACGTTCAAGGCCTGTGATTATTATAGGGCATTCAAATGTCTCAAAAGTCCTTCAGATTACTAATGGGTAACAATGCTACATGCGCAGCACTCCCTCAGGGCAACAAGTTGAAAATGGCATGGAAAAATCTAACGATAATGTTGATACCTTCTGACTGGTGAAGCAATTTACACAACACATTGACACAAACCACCATAACATGCTGAAGTAACAGCTCAAATACCAAGCCATGCAATAAACCAGGACAACCCCTGCAGCTCATGATTCTTCTTACGCAGCGATCAACATCACGATCCAGTAATGGAAGAAAGGCAAACATGTGAACACCAGCTGCTGCATAATATATGGCAGAAATTCCTATTACCTAAATCATCACTTAAATACTTCCTCGGGTTTCCATGAAAACCAAGGTGTTTAAAATCGAGTGGCTGCGTGAATGCTAGCATTGTGTCCAGTAGGGAATGATTTCTGAAGTACTCACGCAGAACTACACGCAGTTAAGTGACGCTCAAATGTCACCATCTCCTCTAGTTTGAAGAAAAACTTGGCACATGTGGAGCATTTTGTAGGGAAACCTGGAGCATTGGAATGTACCAGAGGCCTATCCATAGAGAATTGAAATCAAATTACTCAGGCATTTCAAGTGAACAGTATCCAAAGAGACAACCACAACAAGACTCATGTACCGTCCATTAGGGAAATGTACGTAAGTGGAGATGTGAATTTTGGCTTGTTGGAAGTGAATTAGTCTGCAGGGTGAGGGAATGCTTAGGATATAAAAACGGCAGGTTGAAGAGAAATTACCTAGGGAGGCTACACTGATTGGGAAAAGGGCGGAGGGAAAACTTTGTCTGGATGCAGGAGAAAGGAAGGTGACCACTGTGAATGAGAATCTTGAATTCAAGGAATGAAGAATAAAACTGACAAAGTTGTGTCTTTCAGAATAAAGTTACATGTAGAATCACGATGAAATATTCGTTGTGAGAATACAAGTACATGTCAGTCGTGTGTTGTTGAACACTCTTGTACAATTAATCAGATTAAATGGATTTATTCCGTAATCTTCTCCAACAACTTTTGGAATGATGTCTCAAGTTGTAACAGGTAATGGCATGCAAAACTCAGATATGATCATCTCAGTCTGCAAAGCTGCAGCTGACTGTTATTATCATTACTCATTTCTGGTAATGACACCAGGGATTCCTCAAAAGTGCCCTGAGGCACTGCAGCTAGCAAGCCTAAAGAAACCTGTTGAGAGGAGACTATGAG